TAGTTTCTAACATATTTCTAACAAATTTTGTTGACTTTGTTGACTTGACTTCTCTTGGGATTTTGGGGTTTGTGGGCTTCCTCTAGGCTTCAATTAGGCATCAAGAAGAGGTATATTGATTCTTTTTAGCTTGTATATAATAATCCTTCAATATCTGCAAATTAATAAAATAACTATTATAGCAAGTTTATATATTCAATAAAATAGATAACGAGGGTACCAAAGTACAATAAAATATAGTGGTCATCTATGTTCCTAAGTGAGGTAACCTATGGAAGGACCTTATGCACTAGACAACCTGATACGAGAGAGAGCCATAACAACCAAACAAATAGGATATAAATGGGCATTCAACAAAACACTAACATCGAGAAGGAGCTTGTCAAAAATCTAACATTGTGAGGGAAATATCATCACGAAAAGCTAGTCATGAGAGAAAGCCAGAGATTGGACCGCAAGAGACTTTTTCAAATAATTGATGTCGAGAAATAGCTCGACAGGAAATCAGAATATAAGAGCACAATCTCCTTATGGAGAAATATAGAACACTAACGTTAAGGACTTGGCGAAAATACGAAGATCAAAGAGAGGAGGCCACCAACAATGTCAACAAGGGAGGCATCATAATTTTTTCAGATAATATTTATTGCAAGAAGTAGATTAACAGAATATCAGAAGAAGAGCATAAACTCATTATAGAAAACAAGACAAGGTTGAACAAAGACACAAAGATCAAAGAGAGGAGGCCATCAACAATGTCAATGTGGGAGACATCATAGATGTAGTCTAAATAGTAGACTAGCAAAACTCTTGAAGACGATGCAAAAGAGGAAAAATTATGTTTATTAATAGGATTAGTTATTGACGAAGCCGCCAAGTGTAAAGCATGCAATTCTCCCTTGGCGGTTCCTAGGTTTAGAAAGAAGAGGGTTTCTAACTTTAGAAATCTTCTCTAGTACCATGTCAAATTTGAGGAAGTAATATGAAGAAGAATAAATGGAGAAACATATCTTTGTTTCTTATATTGATCAAGCCATCAAGGTGTAAGAACCTTCATTTGTAGCATACATTTCAGGCTTCAAGCCTGTCATACTTTTACATGCCCAATAAGTGCTAGTAATCATTCAAATTGTGCCCTCTTTTTTCCAATGTTATCCAACACATTTTGTACGTGTAATACTAATATGTTAAAGGCAACTAATAATGCTTCTGATTGTTCCTTGATTTCTTTGTTGATATTGTCCAAATTTATACTTCTTCCACATTGGTATGCTTGCTCGTAACAGTTCCTTGGAGAACTATGTTTTGTTTTTTTGTTTATTCTTGAAGCACACACACGTCTAGGATGGGATGTTTAACACTTGTGCTAGGAGGGATCGGTTGACGGTTGGAGAGTATAATAAATCACCAAAATAAAATCATTTAAAATATAATGACAAAACTCGTTGATCGACAAAAAAGTACCCATTTTAGTTATGGTAACTACATGTCTAAAAAGTCACATTTTTCTAAAATATCCTAAAGTTATACCTCTTTTTTAAATGAAAATGTAAAATACTTTTTGGTAGATTAATATCTCAAAATTTGTTGGTATTTAAAGATCAATACCTTCCTACTAACTTACCTTTAAAGAATTTGTTAAAACATCATCGTATGACACACATGCCAGTGATTGAATATTTTCTCTTATGGAAAAAAAATCTACAGCGCATCTCATCTTCCTCTTTCAACTCCACCTTTCTTCCTTGAAACTGAGAGCGCCTCTCCTTTGTTCATGTACGTTAACTAGACCTTTCTTCTTTTCGATACAATTTCCAAGAACCAACCAATTTAACTGAATCCATATTCAAAGAATCAGAAAAACTTAACCCTATCAATAGAGAAAGAATCAACAGATTTTCAGTACTCATCTCAAATATCACTAAAAAGAAAAAAAAATTCAAAATTGAAATTTAAAGGTAGAAAGATAGGAGCTTCGAGATGGCAAAAAAAGAGGAGAAAATAAATGAATTATGTAGAAGGTCGTGGGAGTTGCCACTAGAGGGGGTTGGCAGGAAGAATTTGAAAGGGTAAATTAGTTGTTTTGTACAACTTTTCTAAATTTAGCTTTATTAAATTTCTCCAACAAAATTTGAGATATTGTTTTCTCAAACAATATTCATTTAAAAGGTGATGAAATGTTAGGTTATTCAACAAAATTTAATCCTATATAACTTTTGGTGGTTAGCTAAGATGTGTTACCATAATCTGGGATATTTTTTCCTTCGAAATTAAGTAATAAGATTTGATACGACTTTCTCTAAATAGCCACAGTTCATCAATGATCAAGATAAATCAATCAAAGAGGGGGACATTGAGATGTCGAGAAAAGAGGAGAAAACTAATGAGTTATGGTAAAAGGTCGTGGGAGTTGCCACTTTAGGTGTTGGTAGGAAGAATATGAAAGGGTAAAATAGTTGTTTTACCTCAAAATTTTTAAAATTTTGTTTTGTTACATATCTCCAACAAAATTTGAGATATTTTTAAATAAATACTTAACAATGTTCATTTGAAAGAGGATGAAATGTTGGGTTATTTAATAAAAATTAATCCTATATATTACCTTATGATGGACAGCTAACTGGTGTTACCGTAATCTGGCATGCTCATCTCTTTCAAAATTAAGTAATAAGATTTTATGTCTTTTCCTAAATAACCATAGTTCATCTATGATCAAGATAAATCAATCAAATAGAGTATGTCATCTACTTCCAATTTCCATAAAGACTGTTATAGTTTGTAGATAAGCATATTGGTTGTGGTAGCTTCTTGTTCCACATGTTTTTGTTGGAAAGCATATTGGTTGCAACGGAATGCTTATAACTTTGGGATGGAGTAAGGTAATTCACATCCCACCTAGAGACAGAAGTGCGAGGTCCACACCTTTCAATGTGACTAGTAGGGTGGGCCATACCACTAGCTTACCTGTTAGGTAGAGCCCAGTCTAGTACAAGAATGCATGTCTCAAAAGATTGAAATATGTTAAACTGGTGCTATAATCGCACTCAGCCTACATCAAATTTGTCATATGTTGCTTTCTTTTTTTTTATGAACCAAACATCTATCTAATGCATATGGTAAAATCTTTAAATCGTTTAATGCTGGTCAGATTTGGCATAAGTTGCTTTTATTGATACGTCATATGTACTATAGGGTTTTAGCTACTTATTAAACTCGTAAACCTTTTTATTAGCACTCTGGCTTTCTGATCCCAAAATGACATTGATTTTCTATTATTTGTGCCTTTTATGTTAGTACTTTATTTTAACATACTCTCTTGACTTTCATCTTAAAGAATAATAATGTCAACACACAGATTGAGGAATTTAAGAATGAAATCAAGCGATTGATTAGGGAATATAACAACCCAATGACTAGACTTGAACTCATCCATTCGATCCGACAGTTAGCATTGACTTATTATTTTAGAAATGAAATTGGGATTGAGATTCTCCAACTTTATCCAATGGCTAGGATTGACTTATTATTTTGGAAACGAAATTGGGATTGAGATACTCCATTTCTATGTTGATAGATTCAAATCTTTACATAGACTGAAGGAGACTGCAATTTGCTTTTTACTGTGTTTAGATGGAGGGTAGAGAAGGGAAGAGGAAGAGAAAATTTGAGTTTAACCTTGTTTGGGAGTTTTATTGGGAGGGTAGAGGAGGGAAATGAGAAATTTTACACTAAAATCTTTCATCCCAAATTGGGGGGTAAAGGAGGGGAAGGGAAAATTGACAAGTTCCCTTCTTTCCCTTCCCGTATTGAGCTTCCAAACATAGCATAATGAGTTTAGACTACATCGAGAATATGGTTACAATGTATCTCCTTTGGTATGATTGTCTTATTCCACTTCAAATAACTCTACGATTTGTCAAATACAAATTTCACTTTTAGCCTTTCAAGGTATCTCCAAAAGTTTTCTCCAACTCTTGCTTGTCTGGGATATAAATATTTAAGTTAGTTAATAAAGGAGAACTGGACACATGTAATAGTAGAAATCTTTTATTACGCTCATCTTTTCCTTTTCTTGTTTTTAATTTCCTTTTGTACACTCACCTTTCAACACAATATACTTATTTTATATCTTTTATTGACTCTTGTCCTGTTCCTAAGTCTGTGTCAAAAGCATTGTCAAATCAAGTTAGCAAGAAGCTGTAGAAATGAGATCAGAGCAGTGGAGCATGGATCGTAGTTCTTTTCTTTTTGTCGTATTGGAACAGATATTTTATGATGATTAACTGATATTTTATGATGATTAACTATATCAAAGAGAGTTGCATGTTTTAGTTCTCATACATTTTCTCTCTTTTATTGGATGCTTTGTGTTTAGTTTTTTTTAAATGGAAATTATTTGCTAGATGGTGTTGATTCCTTGGAATGTAATTTTTTACGAGTTAAGCAGGTTTTTGTTTGTTGTTTTCCTTTTTCTTTGTAAGGAGAGGGAGTGGGTTGTGTCAGGCCAAGCTTCCTTGTTTACCTGTTAAAACTTCATCTACCTATTATGCTGCTAGAAATCATGGTTTTGTAGATATAGCCTTTTATTTTCCAAGAAGTCAACCTATTATATAGGGATAGAAACCACTTGATGCTATTCTTACCACAAAAAGGCGATTTGATGCTGAAATTTATGTACTATGTGTCCTAATTACTTGTGTTTTGATGCATGTGGACTACGAAGTGTGAAATTTTCGAATTCTGGTTCACTGCTTCACTTGTACTCCCTGCAGTAGTGTTTGAAGAAGGCTTTAGTCACAGAGACTACTGTTGTAATTGGACATGTTATCTATCTATGAATAATGTGTTCTTTAGTTTCCCATCTTCTTTTTGGGCTCAGTAGCTTTATCTGTTTTATATTTTTAGCTTTGACATTATTTTTCCCCCTTTTCCAGTAATACCAGAGGACACAGGCAGTGTCATGGGCTCGGCGACCTTGAGCGTA